CGTAGCTAACGGAATTGCTGCGCGTGAGGTAACCATTGAGGACGCAAGATCGACGGACTGATCTGCGTCAGCGTTACAAACTCTGGCCAAATTCACACGCCTCTTTTGAGCAGAAACCGCCCTGATCGTTACACGGTGTGAGACTGATCGAAGCGACTGACTTGCCGTGATTTCACCACAACATTTTTTATAGTGACTGTGAGATAGAACACTACCAACGACACTCATTACCCCCCCAATTTCTTTTATAGCGACTTTCCACACACGACACTTTAATACGTGACATCCACGATCTGTATTATATACTACACTCCCGATATACTTTATTGGATATAAGCGACAACGATTAACGACGGAACAGACAAGCATACACGCATTTCCCACATATAGCAGCATTATCGTACACGACACTCATTATCCGATATTTTTTTTTTTTTGTGAACTCAAAAATAGAAAGATTTAATTAACTATTGTTCAAACATTCGCTGAAACAAGATGTCAAGACCCATTCGCGATACACGTGACATCCTAATTAATATTAATAATCAACGGCGTCATGATTGAAATCATATGCGACACAGATGATGAAAGAGCTTCCCATACCCTTCCACGACAAAAACTCCGGAGAAAACCGGTAAAGGCGCTCACCGACCGAGGACAGATAGCAAGGTTGAAGAAGGAGGGGAAGGAGACCCAGAAGACAAGAATCCGGAAGTTCGGAGGCAGAGTAAAAGGAGACCCACGATCGTGGATAAGGCTCTACAACGAAGCCGCTGAACGAAACAACTGGACAGATGACGAAAAACTAAGGAAAATAGGTAAGTACTTAAAAGAGGACGCATTAGAATGGTACAAGGAGAACTGGAGCCATTTTGCCTGTTGGGACGATGAATACGACCGCGAAGGGAGTTTCGCACCAACATTCGTGCAGATGCTTGAGCAATGATGCCAGTGGCAGAAAGAATTGGAAAGTATAGAACAGAAAGAAAACGAAAAGGTGGTAGAATACGCCAGTAGGTTTGCGAGGCTACTCGAGAAGGTATACCCCAAGGGAAACTATCACAAGAAACCGGTGGAATGGCTGCTGGCAATGGGACTACGGAAGGACATATTGCCTTTACCCACTATTGCAAACACGACCAACCTGGTGGAAGTAATCAGAGTAGCGATGGAGGCCGAAGCTGAGGCCGAAAAGAAACTACAAAAGACCAAGGGGTTAGATCGCGTGCGAGAATTAAGAAAACAAATGTGTGAAGTGAAGGAAAGATATTACCAAGTTACCGCCTCCGCCGCAAGCAACCCAAAAGGGGTGACCAAAAAAAGAAATAGAGGGTATCGTAAGTATGAGGAAGATTATAATGATACGTTTGCATCGGAAGAGGAGGCAAACATTGTTAGGGGCAGTAGGAAGAAGACCACTAAGGGGTACCCAGCGAAGATCCTGACCTCGAACGATGAGATCAAGAAAGCACCCGCTGACGAGATCGTTAATAAGAGACCTGACGGAAACATTGGGCAGAATGAAAAGTCGGGCAATAAAGGAAAGACGATGGAAGAGAATGGCGAAGGGGAAGTGATAGGGAAAATAAATGATAATCCCAACTCGGATAATGAAGCACGACCGATGATTCCAGGTCCTGTAGCGTACTCCTTCCAATTGGAAGAAACGTTGGCAGCGACTGAAGAGAATCCAGAAAAGGTTAACGAAACTGAGGAGAAGGGGGAAGATCAGTTAGAAGAACAACGTGAGCTAATAGAGATAGTCGCAGAAGAACAAGACGCCGAGGTAATGAAGGAACAGCCAGCATCCCACAACTTGAAACGTGAAGAAATGTGCGGGAAGGATAGTCCCCTGAACGAGGAAAGTCATGATGAACCTGGCATTGAACTATACTCTGACGCGAATGGAGTGGAAATGGGGTATCGTGATGATGATGGGAGCATACTCGCGAAACAAGATGTCCATCCATCGGAGAGGAACGGAGTAGTGATGGTACCGACCGGTGACATCACGATTGTAAGTTGTGATGACCCGGGAGGACATAGCAAAAAGGAAAACGGAGAATTAGTAATTAATGGCACGAGGTATTGGAACATAGACGGACTTACCATGAAAAGACCTAAAGTGAATAGGGTGGGGTTGAGGTATCGTGATGAAGGATGGATCACGATTTATGAGCGGGATGTCTACCCCCCTGAGGGTAAAATGGAGTATGAAGCGGAAGGAGGGACGATGTTCATAAGTACATGGAAACCATGGGACCCCGAGGACAACAGAAATGATGATGTTATGGAAGAGGAATTCACAAACGATGACGAATTAGCGGATCAAGATCATTGGTGGGAACGATATTATGGGAAAAAGGATACAACCATTGGCGTGCCTATTAATCACCAAGATGATGAGGACGAAGTAGTGTTGGTATCAACCAGTGTCGTCACGATCGTAAGTTGTGATGACCCGGGAGGACTTAAAAAAAAAGTGAACCGAGAGTTAACAATTGGTGATGGGAAGTATGGTGACGTACACGGACTTACCGATGGGAGACCTGATGTGAGTGGAGGTGGATTGGGATGTCACGAGGATGGAGGGACGATAACCGATGACTCCCCTGATGAGGGTAAAATGGAGGATGAAACGAAGGGAGGGATGGTGGTGATGAATGCGAGGAAATTATGGGCACCCGGGTATGAAAAATGGTGGCAACGGACGAACACGCTCAAGGAGTTAATGATAGCATACGTAGACGTTATTGCAAAACTAATACACTGCACAATGATGATCATTATCATGACGGTTCTGATAACCAATGGAGTTGTCTCGAAATCTGAGTGTGCAGGAATAATGCGACGTATTGGTAACATTAGCAGGAAGGCCGGTTGGTGCACAGAAGGATGGAGGGAAAGAGAGTGCGAAAAGAGAACACAACGAAGGTTACAACCGACGAAGATATGTACCGACCACATCATTATTAAAGCAAGCGTGAAAAAGGGATGATGGTGTGAGCGAAAAAGTAAAAAAAAAAAAAAAAAAAAAATCGCGATACGTGCCATGGGCGATGATTGCTCGTAGTACTCGCGAGCAAGGAGAGGAAGGAAAATTGTGAAAAAAAAAAAATGGAATGGATGGATGAGAAAGTGGGATAAAAAGGAAAATAGGATAGTGTTAGTTTAAGTATAGTTTAGAATTTATTCAACGATGACATTAGATTAGCTTACTGTGTTTAGTTTTGACTTTTAATTTCTACTTCGATCAATCGATTATCAATTATTCCCCTTTA